AACATGCATGAAATATTTGCCACTGGACGTTAAGCAACCAACAATTAATCAATCAATCAATCAATCAATTAAACAACCGTCAAAAAGTAAGGTCCTCTTTGTTGATCATGCGTACTAAGGTCATGTTAAAAACTAGTCATTTGTACTTTCTGTACATAAGTTGGATCGAACAAGCGAAATCTTATTTGAATACTTTTTCGGAGTCAACAAATTAGTGTACATTTAAGACTTTAAATTTTCTTATTCGAAACTTCATATTTCAAGAGTGAGAAGTTATTTTAAACATCAGAAAAAATATTATTGTCTGTGAGTTTTTGGTGCAAGCGATTTCATTTTCAATATGAAATGGTAGATTTATTTCATATTGAGAGACAATTGAAAAAGTTTTCAAGAAGATACATTTTGTTTGCTTTCCAACATTTGTGAGCAAGCGAATCCAAGTATTTGGTGTGAGCGTAACGAACAGAAACATTGTCAGGGTTTTAGGTTTCTTTCTTTATCAGATGGTTTTATTATAGTTAAACTTTATTTTAAACTGTATAATACAGTAGGATACTATAAACTATAAAAGTATTAAAAATAGTAATGGCTATTTAAAAATATTGCTTCAAATATTCAAAATGCTTTTCTGGAGGTAGATTTAAAGTATGTTAACATACAAAACTGGACAAATAGAAAAGAATGTGATAGGAAGACAATGCAGTTACTGTTTGTCATTACAGAAAATCTAAGGAATTTCATTTATGTGTGTATTTTAATGGTGTCCCTCATTCTAACCTATATTTCAATTTGTTAAAATTCCTTTACCTGTTATAAAAGGTAATTTTATACGAATTAGATTTGGGTATAAGGAAGTGGTATTTAAAATGAAAAAAACCCGTTATCGTTTATATTCACTTGATACTTTCCTATTGCATGCAACGTAGTAACATCCTGTTTAAATGTTAAGTTTAAATTGAAAAAATACATATGATTTGCATGCATCACGGTACAATGAACTATCAAACACAAATTTTTCCAAATAATAATGTGATAGTATTCAATAACTATCATGTGATATTTGTTCGTTTATTTTCGCCAGATATCGGGATGTTGGTGATTGGTGCGTTCAATGCTGGTACTTCCTATTTTCCCTTTTCATGTTAGACCTTTGATAAATAACAAATTAACTTCCCAATAAATGTAAAATTTTTAACTCTACATCGGCACTAAACACATTTATTTAAAAACCAGTTGTTGGCATGACACGGGTTATGTTCTTCTCATATATGTTATGATGGTATGATACTAAACCCCTAACGGGAAGGATTGTGCCTGATATTCATATGATGAAGACATAATCTTTCAATCAGTTTAATTGAAGTCTGGAGCTGGCATGTCAGTTAACTGCTGGTAGTCTGTTGTTATTTATGTATTATTGTCATTTTGTTTATTTTCTTTGGTTACATCTTCTGACATCAGACTCGGACTTCCCTTGAACTGAATTTTAATGTGCGTATTGTTATGCGTTTACTTTTCTACATTGGCTAGAGGTATAGTGGGAGGGTTGAGATCTCATAAACATGTTTAACCCCGCCGCATTTTTGCGCCTGTCCCAAGTCAGGATCCTCTAGCCTTTGTTAGTCTTGTATTATTTTTAATTTTAGTTTCTTATGTACAATTTGGAGTTTAGTATGGCGTTCATTATCACTGAACTAGTATATATATTTGTTTAGGGGCCAGCTGAAGGACGCCTCCGGGTGCGGGAATTTCTCGCTGCATTGAAGACCTGTTGGTGACCTTCTGCTGTTGTCTGTATTATGGTCGGGTTGTTGTCTCTTTGACACATTCCCCATTTCCATTCTCAATTTTATTTTTTACAGAGTTTGTCTTTAGTGCCGTGTGGAGACAGTAGAGTGCCTCCCCGTGCTTCAGGTTTATGCTCTTATAATATACTAGATTATGGAGTGTGTGTCCGAGCGAGAACTTCTCTAGTTCATTACTTTAGGAAAATTTATCAAAAAGTAGTATTTCAATATTCAGCCCCATTCTACTATTTAGTCAGACGTCAGTCGCTACCCTGATATACCCTTTCTTTTTCGGGTAATTAATACAGATAGCGTTTGACATCTTTAGCGGAACAGATTTATCATTTTTACATAATTTAATTCATTGTATGCTGGTTCATATTCTGGACGCCAGTCTTTGCTCCTTTCTAATATAATTCACAAACAAAAAAACAAATATGAAGCTTAGAAATGGAAAAATATTAAATACTAAACTCGTTCAAAGGGTATCTACACGTCTCAATCTTCAAAATCGCTTATCTAAAAATACAACCATCGCTAACATTTTTAACAATAAAAATCGTGGTTACCCTTCTATCGATAAGTGTCATGCCAAAAAATGACTTACATGTCCCCGTCTTTCCACCAACAATACGGCAAGGTCCACGTTTACTGGTCGCACATTTTCTTTAAATTTTGAAACTGATATAACTTGAAAAACAAACAGTATTATTTATTTACTCACATGAAACAAACTGGGATGCGGTATTCAGTACGTAGGTGAAACTGGACGATATTTATCTAAACGCACTCAAGAACATCTGTATCGTTTTAAAAGACCCAATAAATTCAAAAGTATCATTTATCAACACCTTAAGAAGCACAATCATCCTATTAAATATTTAGCAGTTCAACCTTTAGAAGTAGTAAATAAGCAGCCTGGTGAATCTCATTCAAAGTTTGTACGATCACGGAAAATAATTGAATTAAATTGGATTAAAAAATTACAGACAGTCTACCCTCTCGGTCGTAATGATAATATCATGGGAATTGGTAATATATCAAGAACCGATTCTGTTAACATTTTGGATATAGTTTCTAAAACTGTTCGTAAAAACCGTTCTCATGGTCGTAGAAAAAATCGCAATCAAAGAAAATTTCGGACCAATCATACCAATATTTCGGACCTAATTTCTATTTCAAAAAACAACGGCAGACATTATCTGTTAACAAAGCTCTGTTCATTACCGGTTAATAAGTTAAATAAAATTTTAAAGGATTGCAACACAATTTCATATAGCAGTCCTAAGTATGAAATCGTTCAAATTATAATGGCATATTGTTATTCTAAACTGTTTCCCAAAATCGATCGCCCTGAAGATCATAAAAAACAGTTTATTAAAATAAAGTAGGTCAATAAAGGTTTTGATTTTGTAAATATTGCCGGTATTTTTAACGACCATTCTGTTAAAGAACAAATTCCGGGATATTTTGATAATACTGAGCTCCCTCTTATTTGTTATATTTACAAGAAATCTACCCGGAAATTTGTGTTTAATTATAGCCAATTGTGTAAAGATGTTAATATCAGTGAAAATACACCTACTTCATGTAATTGCAGTAATTCCGAATACATTTATGGACCCATTTCCCATGTTATAACAGGAGACCTTAACATCGTTCAAGACCGAGAGTTAAAACCATTCCTCAGTAAAGGACCTAAATATCGTCCCCCGTCAATTATTAATTGGAATGAGTGTCGTAATATCATCCACGACTCACTCCATACTTACTGTTTGAAATGGATAAAACGGGAAAAAGCTGACAAAAAATCTTTGGACTCTTTTTTTAATTCAGTAATGAACATAGTTGATATACGTATTCAACATTTTAAAGAACATTTTACTCTTAACAACAACCACAATAAACCTATTTCTCGTATCAAACATGAACTAAAAGAACTAGCCAAGGAATTTGTTTTTGTCCCGGCCGATAAAGCTGCTAATAATATTATTATTGTTTGACGTAAATTTTACATTGAGGTTCTGAAAAAAGAAATCACCAATTCACCAACATTCCAACTGACTCCATTTTCAGAAAACGACATCTGTAACAAACATAAACTTTTAGCTACCGCTTTACAAGCAGAACCAAATACAATGAAAGTCCCAACTATGTATTGGCTTCCGAAGCTACACAAAACACCTTACAAATATAGATTTATTTCGTCTTCAAGCCATTGTTCCACTACTAAATTGTCTATTCTTCTTACCAGTACACTTGGTACAATCAAAAACCTGATAATAAATTGTTAAAATAAGGCCTTCGAAAATAGTGGAATTAATTACTTTTGAAATATTCAAAAATGTCAGTATTCACCTCTGAAGCTAACAAAACCTTTAAATAGACTTATTAAGAAGGGATATAGTTACGATACTGTTGTCAGGTCATTAAAGATTGCATATTTTGGCGTTAATATTGATTCACCTATAGGGTCTTTGCATCGGCACTAAACACATTTATTTAAAAACCAGTTGTTGGCATGACACGGGTTATGTTCTTCTCATATATGTTATGATGGTATGATACTAAACCCCTAACGGGAAGGATTGTGCCTGATATTCATATGATGAAGACATAATCTTTCAATCAGTTTAATTGAAGTCTGGAGCTGGCATGTCAGTTAACTGCTAGTAGTCTGTTGTTATTTATGTATTATTGTCATTTTGTTTATTTTCTTTGGTTACATCTTCTGACATCAGACTCGGACTTCCCTTGAACTGAATTTTAATGTGCGTATTGTTATGCGTTTACTTTTCTACATTGGCTAGAGGTATAGGGGGAGGGTTGAGATCTCATAAACATGTTTAACCCCGCCGCATTTTTGCGCCTGTCCCAAGTCAGGATCCTCTAGCCTTTGTTAGTCTTGTATTATTTTTAATTTTAGTTTCTTGTGTACAATTTGGAGTTTAGTATGGCGTTCATTATCACTGAACTAGTATATATATTTGTTTAGGGGCTAGCTGAAGGACGCCTCCGGTGCGGGAATTTCTCGCTGCATTGAAGACCTGTTGGTGACCTTCTGCTGTTGTCTGTTCTATGGTCGGGTTGTTGTCTCTTTGACACATTCCCCATTTCCATTCTCAATTTTATGATTTAAAAAATATTTATATTGCTTCAGCATTTATTTTTCTGAGGTGTAAGTGTTCGGCATGAAACAAAGTTTAATAAATGTATCATATTTTTTTAATACAAAGCACACTAATTTAGATATCCCAGAATATTCAATGTTAAAAGTTTAAATTTGAAAATTGTTTGATATCATAGTTTAATCATTTATCATTTATCATTTATAAATGATATAGTTGTCCTCATTAACGTTTCATGGCTTTATCCAAACATTTCCAGAAAATGTTATTTTCATTTAACGTGTCTGTTTTACGGATGTGGTCATTGGCATTTAGTGACATCATTTGCAAAACACATTGCGGTATTTCTGTTTTGGTAATACTCTCCAAGCTTATAACAATTATTTTTGCTTGCAACCCAATAAAATGCTCAATTCCAACATTAGCTTCATAGCTTGCCCATTCATTGTTCACAAACTCATTTGAAATAATTAAGATCATCTTTTTGCATTTTGAAATGGAATTACTTATGGCAAGTCTATTTTGACCAGGCCGTACATCCCCATCTCCTCTATCTGACAAAAGAAGTTTATAATTTCGTCTCTCTTCAAGAAATGAACGCAAAGGTCCATATACCCATTTATAGTCGCCATCGCAATAAGCTACATATGCATCATATTCAAGTTCTTCCTCTTTTGACTTCCGGAAAATTGGATTGGCTATTCCGATAAATAAACAAAAGTATTGTAGATGCAATTTGTAACGATATCCAACTAGAATGAATAAAAGAAGCACACCGAATAAAGTTGCAGAAAAAATAACCCATACTGTCGTAATACATCTTATTCTCATAATTCGCAAGTGATTGTAAACTGCATTTGTTGTTGTAATATTTCCATCGTTTTTGACACACGAATAACTACCATTGCTGTCAAGTTTCACTTTAGTAGTAAATAACCATTCTACAAAATCTAATGAAGCACAATTACAAACAAGAGGGTTTCCTTCTAAAAAGACTGTCATAGTTCTATTTGATTTTTCAAATAGCACTTCAATGGCGTCAATTTCTGTAGTTGTCAAATAGGCTATCTTGTTGTTTCTGATGTTAAGGAAACTAAGACGGTTCAAGTCTTCTAGATTTAAGGGAATACTTGTGAAAAAATTTCCTTCAAGTATAAAAGATTGTAAACTGTCTAATTGACATTTAAATGTTGAAATTCTGAATCGGTCTTCAAATGCATTTCTTGAAAAATCTATATACTGCAAACGTTTGAGTCCATGAAGGAATTTACTGTGGTGATCATCTATAAGACCGATACTTAGTGAAGAACTTTGCATTATCAACTGTTCCAAATTGACGGCAGATTGCAGAAGGTTGTGATTTAAAAATCCGCATTTGAAATGGGAAATATTAAGTATTACCACGTTCTGAAGTCCATTTATTGTGTAATTGCAGTCGTCAAGTGATGAGTATGTTAAATCAATAATTTTCAATCTTGTAATACCCTTGAAAGTTATACTGTTTATGTGATTATCATGGCCGATTAAAAAGGAGGCATTTAGGAATTCGAGAGATGAAGGGAGTCTGATAGACCAATCTGATCGGGTATCATTTATGAGACAATGGTCTCTCGTTCGTCTAGAACTGTTACTCTTTTGTTTTTGAATATTTTCAATAAGCTCACTACTTACTGAAGATATGTCTATTCTCTTGATATTGGTAAAGAAATTGATATATAAGAAAATTAAATCCTGGTGGTAATCTAACTCATTGTTACTTAAATCTAAATTTTCAAGACAGTTTCTGTATTTCATTTTCTGGAAGGCAGATGCATCTATCAGTCTTATACCGTTGCCCCTTAAAGATAATCTTTTTACGCATATGTTACCGATATATGCAAATAGATCAGCCGAAATAACGTATTCACCGTAATTTCTGAAATTGGTGCTCAAATCCAATTCATCCATATGTCGATTTTCAAACACGTGTAAAGCTTTTAATGTATTTGATAGTTTCAGGAATCTTTGATATGGAATACTAAGACTAGAAAGTAATTCTAACGGTGCAAAAGTATCGATTTCTATCGCTCGTAAATGGCCAATGATACGTAAATACTTTAATGGCGTCCTTATAAATGAATCAAATGTACAGTTATGTATAACATCACCGTGATAATCACATTGGAAGTAATGAAGATTTTTCATGGCGGAAAATATCTCCGAAAATGTTCCATTCGACGGGCCGCCATAGCTTATCACTGCTGTAATTCTAATAAAATCCGACCATGACTCTCTTGGATATGTTGACAGCAAATTGTGTGATATGGAAAGAACCCGAAGCTCCTTTAGCGGTGCAAATAAATTAGTTTGAAATGTTTTAATCGGATTATTGAATAATTTCAGGTCTTTTAATTGTGTCAAATTATAGAAAGCTGATTGGTCGATTAACGTTATATTACAGTTACTTATATCCAGATAGCTGAGGTGTGTATATCTAGTAGATGTGTCCTTACCTAAACTACCAAGGTCATTGTTAGCAAGATTTAAATCTGTTGTGTTTCTTGGACATTCTGCCGGTATGAATGTTACATTCCTTGAACTGCAGTCACATCGTATTTCCTTCACACGTATTGTAATATCACAATGTCTTGAATAAACAAACAAAAAAATACAGTTAACACAAAGAAAGAATAAACGTTGTATTTTCAGCATTTTTCAAATCATTTTGTAAATCTTTTACATTTATACTTCTTTTTTTTAAGTACCACAAAATTTAGCAATACATTCCTTTCATAATATCTAAATATATATATATAGCATTCTAAAACGGGGCCAGTCAAGCAATAATCAAAATAATTAAATATATAACGGTAAATTTCATACCTGAAGATTATGTGTTGATATGTTACCAAGGTTATGATTGTTTGACGAAAGGTAAATAGGAAGTGCGCGCGATTACAGGAAATAGAAATTCCCACTTCCTGATACATTACATCCTCATTTTATTGTCGGTTCATTTAACATGTTTAAAAGTAATTAACATATCATAAAACGAATTTTAATCAAATCACGTGACACGATGCAACACGCCACTACCTGACACAATTATTCTTATTCTAATGTCGGTTCATTTAACATGTTTAAAAGTAATTAACATATCATGAAATGGATTTTCAAAGATTCACTCACACGGTGCAACACCCCACTACCTGATACGTATTGGTTTCTTTAACATTTTTAAAAGTATATATACTAAATTAACATATAATATATTTGTGTGTAAGCCTAAATGTCAAGAAAAGTAAGAAATCGGAAAGACAGAAAGAGGCTGACGAAGTATTATCTGCCTCTTTTTGTTTTTAAAATGTTTATTTAAAAAAATTATTTATTATAAAAAAGACCCAAAAGACGAGTTCTTCTGTACTGTCTTGATCAAAGATCTTTTATGTAAGAAATAAACTAAAATAAATTTAATTAATCCTAACACGTGTTCAGGAATAATGGTTCAAACTTACTTCATGCATCAAAATGCGACGAATTTCCTTTTGCTTATTTCAGCTCCTTTTGATGATTATTCATAATACAAAATTTGCAGCAATAAAGCTTATATTTTAAGTTATGATTGTCGCTTTCAGAAAATATATTCATAATCATCAATAAAGACTGACGATGCCATGGAAGAAAAAAGAAAAAGAAACTTTAGACAGAACAAATTGAACTCATAAAAGTGAGGCAAAGGATAATCAAACTCTATTCTGTACTAAGTGTTTTTTCAATTTATTTTACATATAAGTATCCTGACACGTCTTGTCCTTGTTTTTCGTTAGACGTATTTCTGCTTTGTATCGATCTGATGAGTTAACTTCTTTCTAAAATGATTTTTTTATAGTTTGCTCTTATGTTGTATTGTGTCACCATAGTCCAAGGTTAGAGGGAGGGTTTGTGCCTTCAAACTAGTTTAACCCTGCCACATTCTATATTTTTGTCCCAAATCAGGTGTCTGTAACTCAGTATTAATCACTTGTTGCCGCATATCATATTTGCTTTTCGTTCATCATTTTTTACATAAATCAGGCCGTGAGTTTTCTTGTTTTAATTGTTTAACATTTGTCACGTCGAGGCCTTTATACCGCATCTTCTTTGTTTGATTCTATAAGTCGTAAATAAACTGACAACGGCATGGTTAAACAAGAAAAACATATATACAAATAATAGTTCACAAAACACAATATAGATAACCGAAGACTGAGCAACACGAACCAAAAAAAAAAACGGTGCTTATCTCGGGTGCTCCGTAAGGGTATGCAAATCCTGCTCCATATGTTGTACCCGTCGTATTCTCACATCAGATCAAAACTGGTGATCATTCTAATTCGGTAGGTCACATTGATGTTAAAGAGGACGAGATTGTGGTTATGACAATTGGAAGATATCCGTGCATCTGCAGTACAATAGAACAGAGATAAGAAGATATGTGGATTGTTGTGTCACATTTTTAACGGTTTGTCTTGTGTTTTCTTTTTGCTTTTGAACTGTTTATATTCTATCTTTATCTTGATCTATAAGTTTGTTTAAACTCAAATGACGATTAGCTTGCTACTTGTATAGAGATAACACAGAGTGTCAAATTAAATATACAACAAAAAAAATTGTAAGGGTTCTCGCCTACTTTTGCTGTTAGTCGCAGACTCAACAAAAACGGGAAAAAATTATTAAACATTTTCCTCTATATACTATCTTTTGATTGTTAGAAACTGCTGTTCAAATTTGGCAAAAACCAAGGATGGTTTATGAATCTAAAAAATGTTTTAAAAACTTTAACTGCAGAATGTATGCAATGTTAACTTGAAGAAAAACTAAGTCCTTTTATAAGTAATATACGGAAAAACAGGAAATAACTTTTTACAAAATATCCTTCTAGATACTAGCTTTTGATCATAACCAAGCTTCTGTCCAATTTTGGTACAAATCAAGGATAGTTTAAGAAAGTTATTAAAATTTTGAAAACTTTTACCACAGAGTGAATGTAATGTTAACTGACAAAAAAACTAAGTCCATTTATAAGTAAAACACGGATAAACAGGATTTTGTTTACTAAAATTTACTTTTGAATACTATCTTTGATCATAAACGAGCTTCTGTCCGAATTTGGTACAAATCCAGGATAGTTTAAGAAAGATATTAAAGTTTGAAAACTTTTACTACGGAGTGAATGTTATGTTACCTGGCAGAAAAAATAAGTCAATTTCTGAGTAAAATACGAAGAAAAAGGATTTGTTTTTTACAAAACTCATTTCTGGAAACTATCTTATGATTATAAACAAGCTTCTGTCCAAGCTTGGTACAAATCCAGGATAGTTTAAGAAAGTTTTTAAAATTTGAAAAAAATAACCACAGAGTGAATGTAATGTAAACTGGCAAAAAACTAATTCCATTTATGAGTGAAATACGGATAAACAGGATTTAAAAAAAAATCTATTTTTGGATACTATCTTATGATCATAAACAAGCTTCTGTCCAAGTTTGGTAGAAATCCAAGATAGTTTAGGAAAGTTATTAAAATTTCAAAAACTTTAACCACAGAGCGAATATGCTTGGACGCTGCTGCCGCCGGTGACGACACCGACGGCGACGCCGACGGAATTTAGGATCGCTATGGTTCGTTTTTGCGACAAAAGTCGCAGGCTCGACAATTACACAAGTAAACAACAACCACTAACCACAACCTGGTTTTTTTTTTAAAGACATTACCATTAAAACGCCTGTAATCTGTTATCAATATAACTTGTCTGCTAATAATTCATTCTTGCATCATTTCTCTGCCTACAGTAGGAATTTCAACTTTAAATTAAACCTCCACAAACTAAGTTTAAGAGGCAGGTTAGGTGTCATTGTTTTCTTTTTCGTTCCACCATTCCTCTTTGTGTCTGCATGTCTTTTTGTTTTGTGTTTATGCTAAATTTAACTGCAACTCCCTTTAATTCGGAAATGATGAAACTTGACACAGTTATAAAACATCAGCTGAGAATGTGCATAATAGTTTATAGTTTATATAAAATCTATAAAACTAGGTTCAACCAACCATTTTTTCCTGATATGGTCTGTAACAAGTCAGGAATATGGCAGTTGTTATCAAATACTTCGTTTCTGCGTATGTTGCATTGGCATTTGTTTTTGTTGGATTTCAGTTATTCTGTTCTTTCATCTTAAAATTGATGACTTCCCCTCAGTTTTAGTTTGCAACCCGGATTTGTTTGCTCTCCATCGTTTGTGACCATAGAACAGCGATATACTACTGTTGCCTTTATTCGTAGCTAGAGCCCCTTTAAAACTTCCTTATATATAAGGAACGACATCCGATGTCAGGTATATACTAACAAGACAGCAACTTAAAAACATCTAAGTCAAGTCAAGTATTGAGTAATAATGTATTAACTTAACAAAGCAGAAACCAAAGCTTAAATTTGTTATCTGAAATAATGAAGCGCTCATTGAGGTTGTAACATTCTTTGTTATGCCCGTCCACGATAGAAGGGAGCATGACGGTCATTATAATATAAATAATGTGAACTTTTCATACTATATCACGGTTTTGACCACGATTATAGGGTTTACAAAAACGGGGCTTCAGAAAAATGAAAAATAAACCAAATGGTTTAATTTTGGCAGCTTGAGTTAGCATGCATGCATACATAAATATGCATAATACACATACAAATATTCATAAAATGCAATATTAACGACTACAAACACAAACACACTAGATGAAGCGGATCCTGATAGAATAACAAAATCCTCCTAATTGTTAAGTTTTTCGGTCTCCATCGGACCGGGGGTCAAAACCATTACCCCCTCACCATCTCGCAAAAAAAAACAATCTTTAATACTGAATTTGGTGTAGGTAAATGCAAGCTTGGAATGTTATCTTACGTGTTCCTATAGATGGATTTTTTGGTTTTAAAAAGAAAATTCTTATCAATATACAAGGTCCACATTTTTCTTTGTTAAATTCTTGAAACGATTTTATCATTGTTTCATCAAATAAAAGCTATCAGTAACCATCAGATGCCATGCATGACTTACCATTTCTAACAGATGTAGTAAAATATTTTGTTTGTTAGAGACTAACATGATATTAGATCAATGTTCAGAGGAAATTTGCAAAGTAAAGTCGTCTTGTATATATATGATAATGACGCAAGCTAGTCATGTTAAAAAAAGTGGCAGAAAAACATTTTATTCTGACAGGGCAATAACTTCTCAACAATCCAAATCACATTTTTTATCTGCCAAAATAATTTTTTATAGTTTTGTCACAAAAATCCCACAGAGTCCCTACTACTTAGATAACTCGGTCACCGAGTTTAATCGCGAAATTGTCTGCTTAGATGATGGATATTGCAGAAACTTGCTGCTTATTTGTTTTTCTTTACAATTTCTTTAACAATTATGAAGGTATGTATAGGGATCCTTTTAATTTATTTCCTTAATTTTTTTTTTACCATTTTACTCTATTTTTTTTTTCTTTTACCCATTATTCTCTATTTTACATGTATATGTTAGCACTAAATTTACTCTCTATTCTATTCATTGTAGCACCCATTATTCTCTAATTTTCTCTTATCATTTTTGCCTATTTTTTACTATTTTTTTGTGTTTTTTGTCCCTTTACTCTGCACATTGAACCAATTATTCTGTATTCCGAAAACCCCAGCCAGATCGTCAATTACCTCGTTGTGAACAAAATCCATCTGCAACAAATTGTTTAATGTCGATATTGTTTTTAATGTGTTATGTATTCAAATATACATGAAGTGCTACAATGTTTAAATACACTACATGATATTTTCGATGATATAAGTTTTACATTTATTTGATAGTGAATTGTGAATTTCTAAAATTGACAAAATAATTTTACAAAATGTTGGCATATCATCTTTTATTGTTTCTTTGTGTTAGTTGTTGTTGTTCTTTTGTTTATCCTAGACATTGTGAAATCATAATCAGTGAAAGGAA